TATTTTAGTTTAACATCATGTAATCCTATTTTTACAATATCATTAATCAGATTAAATTTAATATCTCTTAATTGTTTTGGTTAACTTTTTGACATGGATTTTTCTTAAAAATATCTTTTTCAACTCATTGATACGAGAAAAAAAAAGATATTTTGTGTTAGAATAAATATTTTTAAGAAAATTTATGTAGCATTTTAATTAAAATGAATTATTTAATAATACTATAAAAAAATAAGGATCAAATTATACTAAATTATATTGATATTTAAGATTGATAAAGCGACTAAAATCATAATTTCAGTATTTCTCAAATTTGAAGCGGCTTAGCTGATGAATTTTGGAGTTGGAACATTTTGTCAAAGAAAGAAATCTATGGTGGAAGAATTAATCACTGATCTGTTGGCTCAGAAGCATTAAGTTGGCAAAGTCATGGATGGACAAATATCAATAATTATATCAAAAGTAAAAGTGGTGTTTGAAACGATGATCATCGTGCCTCCAAAATATATCTTTCCATAGGTCAAATTGCATCAATATTATTTAGTCAACTTTACCACCACTTACGATGGATACCTTTAATTCAAGCAGCCCACTCTATAGCGTATAATTATTTGAAATTGTCAAATACGAGTATAAAATGTAATGTATGAGTTTTGATCGTGTGGCATTAGTAATTAGATATACAAACAATTATATTTATATAACATAAATATAATTGAATTTATATTACCTCGACGAATCGTCAACACTTTTTTTTTAAATGTAATTAGAAAATATATTATCATATAAAAGAGTATTTATGAGAATTTCGATATGATCAATGAAATCTTAATGAAGGCTGACATACATGTATATGTTGATTTTTTATTATCTAAAAAAGTGTTAAATCATTGTGACATCATGATTAGACTTTCATTTAGTAATATTTAATTTGTATTTGGCAATGGCCGTTAAGGGAAGGTATCAAATCTTCTTCTATGCTTTTTCACACTAGGAATATGTGTACATGTAGATTTCCTACCGCCTCAAAAGGATTGAATATCGAAAGAGGAGGAATAAAATATTAAAATTATAGGTGAAAAAGAGTTGGAATATGCTTGACGTGGTTTTATATGGACCAAGTAAATTTAAAATAAATCAGCCAAAAAAGTAAAATAAATAGTTAAATCGGAAAGAAGATATAAATGGGGTCAAGAACTGTTAGAGAGCGTGAAGACGTGGAGAAATTATGTTATATTCCACGAGCATAATCATATTTAAGAAAACTAAAGTGGAAGCACAGGTGAGAATGCCTTTTAAGACACTGGCAAGTGTTTATTTTATATATTAATTTGTAGTGTAATATACAGGTGGCATTTGGCCATGAAGAGGGTTTCCACTTAAAAGGCACATCTTCGTTAAAAATACAAAAATTACAAATTAAATTCCATGACCACCTGCAACCACTAATAAAGCAATAAAGAAAAGCATGGATGTTTATTGTTGCACCATACAGGAAAACATGAGTTTTTTTCATGATCCTAATAAAAAGATTGTAAGACTCGAAACCTAATGTATATGAGGTAATGTACAAGAGATTAGACACCAAGGAAGGACAAAATGGCATCTTCAGACTTGCAAAATCTAGGGAGATTAGGAAAAAGGATCTAGGTAACATTAGGTTTATTAAGGACAACAATGGTGTTCTTTTAACGAAAGATCATGATATTAAGAGGGTTTGGGGTAGTTACTTCTTTGGCTTATTTAATGAAGGTGCCTATCTATGTAGAGATAGTATCGTTAATGGGTCAGCCGACCATCATACTACGACCAATGACTGCCCTACAAGTAGGATTGAGTTTGAGGAAGTCAAAATGGCTCTTAGAAAGATGGGAAGGGAGAAAGTTGTCGGTCCTGATCAAATTCCTATCACTGTGTGGTTAGCCCTAGGAGAAGAGGGAGTTAAGTGGTTGACTAACATCTTTAATATTATTTTAGAGACTGCCAAGATGCCAGAGGAGTGGAGAGAGTCTACGGTGATACCAATTTATAAAAATAAAGGAGATCCCCAACGTTGTGGTAACTACAGAGGTATTAAACTACTCAGCCATACCATGAAGCTATGGGAAAGGGTGATAGAGGCTAGGTTGAGACAAGTTACTAGGGTTTCGGAAAACAATTTGGCTTTATGCCAAGCAGGTCTACCACTGAGGCGATTCATCTACTTCGAAGGCTTATGGAGAAATATAGGGAAAAGTCGAGAGATCTTCACATGGCGTTCATTGACCTTGAGACGGCTTATGATAGCGTTCCTCGCGATACGATCTGGAAGACTTTAGAAACGAGACGGATCCCAACTGCTTATATCCGGGCGATTCGTGATATGTACTGTAGATCTACTACTTACGTCAGGACTACAGTTGGCGACACCGAGGCATTCCCGATGGTAATCGGACTCCACCAGGGGTCGGCTCTTAGCCCTTACATCTTCGCCTTGATTATGGACGACATCTATTGTGCGACACCAGACAATGTACCTTGGTGTATGCTTTTCGCTGACGACATTGTCCCAGTTGCTGAAACAAAATCTGAGTTGAATAGTAGACTGGCTACCTGGAAGACTGCTTTGGAAGAAAAAGGTTTAAGGATCAATATTGAAAAGACAGAGTATTTATGTTCAAACTTCAATGGGAACCAAAACGATGAAGATGTAGAAGTATGCATAGAAGGACACGTTCTTCTCTCAAAGGATTGTTTCAAGTACTTAGGGTCTATGATACATAAAGATGGGGGTGTAGATGATGACGTTACACCGTATAAAGGCGGGATGGCTAAAGTGGAGGGCCGCTACTGGAGTTTGTGTGACAAGAAGTGCCTCTAAAACTTAAGGGAAAATTTTATAGAATGGCAATAAGACCAGCGTTGTTGTATGGATCAGAATGTTGGGCAACCAAGAGGATCACGTAAGGAGGATAGAGGCCGCAGAAATGAGAATGCTTCGATGGACATGTGGTAGGACTCTGTGGGATATGACGACAAACTCTGCTATTAGGATGTCCTTGGGGGTGGTGTCTGTTTCCGAAAAATTGAGGGAGGGAAGACTACGGTGGTTTGGGCATGTCCTTAGGCGACTACCGTCGGATGCGGTCAGGAGGGTAGAGTCGATTACAGTGACGGTGCCAGAAAGAAAGGACGACCAAGGCGGAAGTGGGAAGACTGCTTGAGATCTGATTTGATGGATTTAGGCCTTACCGAAGACATGACCTATGTAGGAAATTATGGAGGCTTGTGACTAAGGTAGTCGAGTAGTGTGGGTCACATCTATAGGGTGTATCATCTCTGTCTTCTTTTAATGCATTTGTAGTAATTTCCATGACTTTACTTCTTATTCTTTTATGTTATTGGTATTTATGAAAGATTAGAACTGAGCTTGCTATCGTTGACTTTTGTGTATCATTCTCGTCATGTTTCCTCTGTTAAATTTAGCTGGGTCTTATATTTCTGTCTATATGCAAGATTCTTTCGCATGGATTATTTTGCAGGGATTACTCCCATTACAGAAGCACATATGATATTAATGACTGCATATGAATACTGTTTAGCTATGTATTTATGTAATTATTTATACATGCATTGCATTTTATCTATATTTTTTATTTTCTGACTGCCGGAGGTCTACCACGGAAGCTATTCTCAACCTGGCGTTAGGGGCAGCCTACTACCCTACCTCCCCTTACCCCATACATATGGAATTGGGTTTTGTTGTTGTTGTTGTTAATGGATATGAACATATGACGCAGACAGTGATGCCCAATCATTGTCTCTATCTATAAGTTTCAAAACAGTTTCACATGCCCTAACACATGTGCTAAAGATGCACTTTAAGTTTGAGCAAGCGACCCGAGAACATTATTTGATCCCTCTACAGAAACTAAGTTCAATTGAGTAATACTGTTGAACTTTGTTGTTAAATGATTGACCACGAAATCAGTAATTCAATCATTTAATTTATATGCAGAAAACTAACAAAAATCAAAGATGTTCTCATATAGTATGATGACCAAATTCTAACAAAGTAAAGTTGAGGAACCAACTTTCAATTTTCATTGGTAAAGGTTCATAATTAGATCAAAGAACTAGCAATCCTGTTAGCCATATATTCACACCAAAAATCTAAATGAAGTTTTCACTTAAAAGGATACCTGAAACAAGGACGGATCTATGTAAACGTAGTAGCACACGAATGCATAACTGGTAAACCCTTGATTTTTTAATCTATTTCAATCCTTATGTATCGAGTCAGCATCGACTTTTCACCTTCCCCATCTGCCTAATCAAAGGAATCTCTTTATGAGAGCTTATCCAATATTTACACAGAGAACTGAAGGTCCAGATAATGTTTAACATAAACTTGAATAAATATATCTAAAGATGTCTCAAAGCAAGCAGCAACTAATGGCCAATAAGAACTTTGAAACATGATCAACGAATTATTAGACTTTATGGGGCCACAATAATGGTTCAGACTTCTTTAAAATGGTGCAGCAGAGGCATGGACCATGTACTTTATGTGATATGCCTGCTGCTGCTTTAAAGAAAAACAAAGAGGACGTAGAATGTGTTGAATATCGAATCTCATACTGTTTTCCGTTGATGCTCGGGCCCAACATGGGCCTTTGACAGCAACTTATAGCTTTAGATAGTACTTAGCCAAAGGTCCTACTATGTTGAAACAGTAAACTACCAAATGCTATTGCAAAATATGTTACATTACATCCCAACAAGACAATCTCAGCAACCACTAATTCAACAACCACGGTTTCAAGTTATGTTATTCAGGTTCTTCATTGTTCTTGAAGTACCTATGCCCGGAAGCCATGACCGATGCATATCCTACACGGGTCCAAGTACATGGAAATATTGGACAAAAGTCGAAGATACTTCAAGTCTATCACTCACAGTCACACCAGAGTCCAAGTAGCTTAGGTTTAAAGGAAATCCAAGAGATTCATAAAATTAAAAAAAAAAGGTTGGAAATAATTAATCAGTCGGGAAGCAAAAATTGTGTCAACCAAAAGTTGGTGGACTTTACTGGGTTACTTACTACAAAGAAAGGAACCAGAAATACAATAGCACAAATATTTAGCATGAGGCATACTTTTCTCACTTGGTGCTTATAAGCACAGGTGAACAAATCCAATGCTTCACAGGACGTCCAAAAAAATGTACATTGATCAAATCAAGAAGACACTCACCCGTTGTATAAGATTGCATTACCTCAAGATCCAAAACAATAGCCATTATTTTGCAAAACAAAGCCTTGGGGAGAATATATATTTAAGCAGTAGTAGCAACTTCTCTGGTTTCTTAGTGGCTGCCTTTAATGGCTTCCCATCAGTTTTGATTTCTGGATTTTCAATTCCTTGTATATCTGTTATTCTCAACTTAGTCAGTTCCTGAAAAATGACAACAATCAAGAAGTATTAAGAAGTCGGGTAAAACAAACTAAAATTGTTTAGATACATGGTCCTTGACAAACCTGGCGATGTCCTTTGGTTCGGCGGTAATTCTTTCGTCTCTTTTTCTTAAAAATAATCACCTTAGCATCTAATGCCTGACAGGAAGAAATAAAGAATATATATAAATTTAGGGGCACGACCTAATGACTCAATAATGAAAAACAACACGCACATAATATCAGGGTTATTGATTTTAGCATGTCTTCATTTACTGTTTACTGTTTATAAAGACAAATGACCCACGGAGAAGAATGAAATTGTGGAAAATTGGTCCAATTTCTTCACTTGTCAACTCCAATTGCTTAAAACGGAGAAGATATCTTTCTCGGAATAAGGGTAGAATGCTTTTTTTTGGCAATTTAGGTAATACTATGTCATTAAAAATGCAATATGCAATTAAGAGAGAAAAAAAGATCAGAATGAAGTTTACGTGCTCCTCGACAACAGCATGTACAGCTGCATCTGGGAGTATAGGCCTTCCAATAATTGTTTGTGTAGGTGATCCCAGAAAGAACCTGTTCAATGTCAGCTGCAATGTACAGCCATAGAAACATAAGGGTTCAATTAAATATGGGGGGAAAAAGGAGCAAAAACATGGATAAGTGCACTTAGTTTTTCACAAAATGTATGGAAAAGAATCAAATTATCATAGGCTAATAAAGTTCAGGGAAAACTGAATGCTGACAAGAGAGGTACAGAGGCAGAGAAAACTACCGATAGTTAATTGAAACAGTGCTTTTGTACAATAATCAGTCAAAGATCTCATAAGAATAATTTCTTGCCAACCTCTCATTCTGTACCATAAGAAAAAATATTCATTCAAAACACTTAACATAAACATGACAATAAGGAATACTTACAAATTTCACTCGATGTCATTGATTCATTTCTACAAACATCACCCTATCGGTATCTCTCTAACCCACTTTAAGATTTCTCTGATATGACCCTTCCAAACTTATGAGATAAACTGAATTGGTTTAGGGAGAAAAATAACAGTAATCAGCAGAAGCATGACTACAAACATGTAGAAAGAACCTGGAAAACAAGTCGAAGAGAAGTTGGAACTCAAGAAAACGTAGGGTTATATAAAACCTCTAGTTACCAACTTTTCCTCCAGGCATTTAAGCCTAATAAAATCCTAGGATTAGTATTAAAGTTTTCTATTAAGCCATGGTTGGACAAGATAGAGGTGGAGGAAGAGAATTGGCTGCAATATGACATGCAATTGAAGAATTGTCCTGTGCAGTTTATGCTTTGCTGTGACAGTAACAAATGGGAACCCATATGGAAATTCTGGAAGCTGACCACAACCATTTTGACATAACAGATAAATTTGATTTCTGTGAGGAAGAATACTGGACCATCAAAATGTGTGATACAAGGTGGAGAGGTCGGTGCATGACCTTGAATTAAACGAGGGTAAAATTAATATTGAAGTAGATTTATATGGGAGGATGAAAGCCGAAGTGCAAGCATATGATCTATTAAATCCTATTTATGATGAGTATCCAGAAGAAAGAAAACAAATGGATGTAGTTAGGGAGAAAAACAGCAGTAAATCAGCAGACGTATGACTGAAAAGTGGTGAAAGAAGCTGGATCCTAGAAAACATAGGAATATATAAAACCTCTAGCATCTTTATATTAGTTCAAAGGGTCGTAAAGCTTACAAGTTACAACTTATATAACTAGACTTTTTTTCAAAACTTTCTTGCAAATAAAGTTTTATTCCTAGCCCTAGATTTAAACACTAAAGATAAATATAAACTATCATCCATAATAAATCTGATAATTGATAAATATTACTGAAATAAAAAATAAAGAAAGAAAAATCATGCGCCATAAACATTAAGACAACGCAGGTTCTATTAAAAATGCTAGCAGCATTGCCATTTAAAGGGGAAAAAATTAATATGCGACACTAACTATTGATAATTCCTTTATATGCAAGAAACTAAAGCGAAGCAAAAGCCAAAACTCAGAAACCATCATTAGGTAATAAATAATCCCAGAATTCATCCAACAAATTGGCTGCATGATGCGAAAGATTGTCTTCCACAAAATACTTGCTCGTAATTGAAATAGTCACTATATATTTTTGAATAAGCAGAGTGTAGAAACCGCAAATTACCTTGTCATTGACTTCGCAGAATTTCAACCTCTCCGTGAAAATGGAATCCCCATTGCTCACCTTAAACTGATGCGACCCAATCTTTTTTTTTCCGTAAAAAAGAAGACGGTTGAATTAATAACAGTCCAAATTTTCGATTCTTAAAACCAAAAAAAATAAAATGAATACCTGAACCACTGCGAAAACTGGCTCATAGTCTTTGAATACCCTATCGGACCGCTGGAGCGGGCCCACTACTTTGTATCCAATAGCCGCGGCCTCAGCTTCCTTCTCTTCAGGCGAGTAATCTCTATCCAAATCCACCGACACCTCGTCGTTCTCAGCTTCTCCGTCGCTGCTCTCTTCCATTTCCACTTCTTCCTCGCTGTTTTCGCTTCTGCTGGACGAGAAGTGACGAAAGTGAGACCAGGCAGTAAACCATGTGGGTTCCAAATTGGAAGTTGTTTTTACCGGATTTGGCTTTGGGGATAGGATTTCAAGGGTGGAGAGTGGCGGTGGATTTCTTAGAGAAATGAGAGCCGTCGCTTGGCGGACAAATGATCGGAGGCACCGTCGATGAGCCATTGAAAAATTGGCGCTGCTTCTTTTTTTTAAGTTCAGACGATGGCACTAGGGTTTAACACTTTAGGTAGACGAAAACAGGGTTTAGAAGTAAACTACGTGTATAGTACTTCAACTATCATTTTATTTTGTTTTGATCATTTAATTATTTTTTATTTTAAAATCATATCTAATATTACGTTTTGATTTCATTTTAGTCACTCGTTTTAAAAAAATTAATAGTTATGCTTATATTACCATAATAATGTCACGTCATCAATGATTTTTTTTAAATGATACGTCAATAATTCTGTTAATTTTTTAATGGCAGGTGATCAAAACGTTACGTTAGATATACTTTTGAGAGAAAAATAATTGAGTGATCAAGATGAAATATAAGTGATAATTAGAGTACTAAATATGTAGTTTATCTTTGTTATTTCTGTCTTTGTAATTACTTTTAGAAAGTTTAAATATAGTAAAAGTTCCTATACTTTCATAATTTAAAATTCAATCTATATATATATACTCTTTTTGAAATTGGAACTCAATACTATTTTTTATTTAAAAAATTTGATATGTCTCCTTATTTATATTAAATTTTGAAGCTTGATACTTTTTTGGACTCGTTGAACAATTTCACAAGTAAAAGAAAGTATTATTCTCCATGAAGATTTTAGGTTAAACAACTGTGTATGTGTGTTCATTATCAATTAGTTAAATTTTTTTTGAACAAATATTATCTTATAATCACTTTATATTAATAAAAAAATTATAAAAAGATAAAATGACCCTTTCAATCTTCTACATTATAAATTTTTACTCTAAACCATAATTTGTCTTAAGTCTAATTATATCTTCTTAAAACTCACCCTAAGTTTAAATTTTGAAAGAACAATTCATACATATTGAGATGAGTCACGATCTATTAGTTTCAAATTAAATTGTCATCTCTAATCTCTATGGGTATATCTCAACCATTATCTTCACCAATGCAACCTACTTTCTACCTCCATTTTATTCCTTGAGGGCGACGTTGTATGGGAGATGCAAGTCTGATGCTCTTTTATGTCGCATAGGATCAATTGATTCTTTATCCTAGTCATCGGTATTGTCGTGATCATTAGTTTCTATTGTTCTTTCACTTAAAAAATGAGATGATAAAGTTATGAGTATCACCGTTTAATCATTAATCAATTATTGTTTGGACATCATTGATCATTACATATGGATTTAACAATAAAATTTCATTATTTGAAAATAGGTCATGTAAAAAGTCGGACGAATTTTTATAAATTAGTGAAAAAAGCCAACATAAAACATTATTTGTTTAGTGGTTCAAAGTTTTTTTTTAAAATGATGAAATGAAATTAAATGAATTGATTGAAATGCACACATTTATTGAATTAAATCTTGTTTTAGCTTCATCACATTGAAAACTTAAGTGGAAATGTTCTTATTTTTCTTCTGTTTTCTTGTACTTATTAATTTTCTAAGTGAGTGTTATTCTTTTAGAATAGAAGAAGGTGAAATTTGGGATAAAAGGGCCTAAACGAGTAGTATATTGTAACATTGTAGGTTGAATTTTAGAATTATGAACAAATTAAAATAAAATATAACAATTAAGGCCTGAATTTATTACTATATCAAATTTATTAATTATCATCATCTCATTGAACTTTTAACAGAAAATGTCCACTTGTAACTTCGTTAACTCAATTGATTATTTTGTAATTTTGCATAGTTTGGAGACGGTAAAAGAAGCACCTAGAGTCTGGAGACTATCTGGGTAGTTGCCCTTTACTATTTCCCCGTGGCATTTCAGTTCATTTCGATCAAACTTTTCATTTCATCGTTCTTTCTTATGATCCCTGCAAATAAACTTAATTTCTTCAACAGGTCTCATACGAAAAAGTAATGGCGGGCTGGTTCGGATCGCAATCCTCTACGGTTGCAACCATGGTTGTCACCGGCACACCGTCCACAGATCTCGCCTTGACTAATCTTGCTTATTGCTCGCCTTCCGATCTTCAAGCTTCGCTGCCCCTGGCTCCAAACTCTTCCTCGTTAACATCGGCGATGCCTTCGTTCTTTCTGTATCATATCCTTTTTTGATCCTTTTTTTGCTTTACTTGCAGTTTAACTTCATTTTTACACGATTCCTTGTCGAGTTGTTCCTGATTTATTGACTGACTAGCATAATTTATGCATCTTTTTGTTATTTATTTGTTACTATGCACATTTCATGGACTCATGGAATGTAAATTCATAAAGTAGTCAATGCTATTGTGACTGATCATTTAAGAGATGTAAATTTGTTAATTGTTTCAGTTTATTAGACTCTGTTTTCTAATAAATTGTTCCCCTTATTACTACAAAAACCGAATATCCATATCTTGTAAGCTTATTTTAGTTTTAGATGTTTTTGTTCTTTGTATTTTAACAACGATTATTTTCCTTGTTTTTTTTTTTTTGGTTTTAACCTTTGGCTTATCCTTAACTTATGAATACTCCTCATGAAAGCATACGCAATGGATATATTTCCCTAAATGCTATCCATCGTCGGCTTGCAAAAGTTTCTAATGGTGACAATGTATCAGTTAGCAGGTTAGTAAACTTAGCTTTGAAAATTTGATGTACAAACACATTTCTTGTCACTAACTGTTTCTCCCCCCAACATGTAGATTTATTCCTCCTCAAAATTTAACCTCGCAATGCTTAGGGTTGAGTTGGAATTTGTGAAGAAGGGTACTAAAAATGAGCAGGTAGATATTAATGTAGTATATGATATATTGTTGTCTTAGATGATATTAGATTGCTTTGATGGACGGCAGTAGGGTTAAATGCTGTTATTATTTTTGTGGTTGATGCTGTTCTTCTGGCCAACCAACTTAGAAAGAGGTTTATCAATCAGGTAAGGCGATGTGCCATTTGCCTGTTGTAAATGCTTGCTCTAATTTTATAGTTTTTTTGCTGGCTATTTTTGGCTTGGATTGGCTAAATTTTATTCTTTTCCTTAATTCTATGTTTAGAACAAAGGGATCGTTTGAGATTTTTTCCAAATACTATGTCAGGTTTTTTTTTTGTCTTATATATATCATTCATACTTTGGAAAATATTTTCTTGATGACATTACCCATCTTAATTTGGTCATATGTCATGTAAAAGGCTGTTTGCTTCCTCTTTCCTCATGCATGCAAAACGTGTACAATAAATTTCTTCCTGTCTATGTTGAAAAATTGAATGATTTGTGTTGAAGTCATGGAATACTGGTTTCTTTTTTGCAGGTTTTGACTGTGGGGCAAAAGGTTACTTTGAGTATCATGGTAATAACTATATTTTCACAATCAGTGAAGCTCAGCTGGAGGGGCAAGAAACATCTGGTGCTCCTGAAAGGGGGATGGTTCTGGTGATACCCACTTTATCTTTGATGCTCAAAATTCAAGTGGGATAAAGGTTATAATTAATTTGCTATTAGTTGTTTTTTTTTAATAGCATATTTGACCTGTGGACGTCACTGTCATTCATAGAGATAGATTACATGTCAAAAAATTTAATTTGTTTTTATGCTCAACTCTTTATTTTCTTTATTGGCTCACTGGATTATGTTTTGCGATGCAGGTTGTCAATCAACGTGAAGCTGCTAGTAGTAATATCTTTAGGCACAAAGAATTTAATCTACAATCACTTGGTATTGGTGGCTTAGGTGAAGAGTTTGCTGATATATTTCGAAGTGCTTTTGCCTCTCGTGTCTTTCCTCCGCATGTGACTAACAAGTAAGATAACTTATTCTTCTAAGCATATTGTTTAATATTATATCAATATCTGTTATTTTTTCTGACGGGAATGCTTGAGGTTCCAGGTTGGGGATTAAGCAGTTAAAGGCATGCTACTTTATGGACCTCCTGGTACTGGCAAAACTCTCATGGCTCGTCAAATTGGAAAGATGTTGAATGGAAAGGAACCTAAGGTTTGGAGTTTGTCGCCATATTAGTTAACATGATTATCATTTGAGCCTGGCATTCTTTGATCATAATTTGATTATTCATGGGTCAGATGGAATGAAACTGATGTATTTTTCTATGCTTCATCTCAGCGAATATGGCCTGAATTACTTGTAATAGTTTGCCTGTAGATGATAAGAGAAGTTTTTGAATATATGTATCCCATGCTTGTCTAGTGTCAATAGATTTTGGATTGCTGTTTAAGGTCACAATGTCGATTAAACTTTTAGCTGGCATGCGAAACGTGTGTCCTCGGCATGCTTGTTTTTGTCATCATGTAGTTTCTGCCATCTCATGCTTCTTCTGTTGCTGTTTTTTTCATGAGCGTGTAAACTTCCGTTCAGAAAAGTCTGCTTATAGTGTTTTCTTGCCTGTTTTGGCTGCTTACTTAACTTCATGTTTCAGAGATGCTGCATTTGACTTCACCTGATTACCTATATTGTTTTGCCTATATGGGGACTGTTACATAATACTGTAATTGAATAATGCAATATTTCCTTGCTGTATCTACTTAGATTGTTAATGGGCCTGAAGTCCTGAGCAAATTTGTTGGTGAAACTGAAAAGAATGTTGAGACCTATTCGCAGATGCTGAAAATGACCAAAGGACTCGGTAAGATATTTGTGCTAGCTAGTTTTTAATTTTTCGGGTTACACTTTTAATTCTATAGTGAAAATTATGTCCTTTGACTTATCAGGCGATGACAGTGATTTGCATGTCATAATTTTTGATGAGATTGATGCTATTTGTAAGGTACAAGACTGCTTTATATACATCTAAGCATCCCCTAGCCAGTAGTACTTTTACTTAATTTTACGTGATGTTTCTAATTTCCTTCATAACTTTCCGTATGCAGTGCTCTTTAAAATATTGAAACAGTGGATGGTAAAATTGTGGCAAAGAGTTGGATATTGTTTAAGTCCTACAATCATTCTTTGATGTAGATCAAGTATGCTTGCACATTTTATGTATGTATTAGATGCTAATAAAACCAGGGTAATCTTCATAAAAAAAAATTTTTCAAGTTAAAGATCAGCTTATTCTTGATACACGAAGGAATATGTGATGGCCTAGTCACATATTATACCCTTTGGCTGT